TCTTTGACTGTTTCTATTCAAAGGATAATAGAAACAATGTCTGAAATTCCAAGCTTTGTGAACTGTAGCTACACATTTAAATGTGGTGCTAATCTGACAACACGAACATGAAAAACTTCTACATACTACAGATTAAATATGTCTTTTTTTACACTTCTGAAGCCCTAGGTTATGCTGCAGAATATATTGCTATATATGCTCCTCAGAGATTGCAGAATATAAATGCTAAAAGTTTAGCTTTTATTTTTAAGTTTACAGAATTACATCACATCCTGGGGCACAAAACCTAAAAAGAAACCCCAAAACCCACAAAGAAAAAACATGTGTTGTGTTTTCTTTCCTAAGAAAGACTTGTTCATTTCAATGAGCAATTAACTCTGAAAGCTAAAGATAATACCATCTTTTATTTTGTATAGTCTGAACCTCAGACAACCCATACAAATCTGAAGCTAAAGGCCTACTGGGATGGTGAGAGTGAACTATGGGAAAGGATGCAGGCTATGGGGAAGTCAGACACTATGAAGCTTTGAAGGAGACAGGTCCTAGAATAAACTTCCCCTTGTATTATCTGTGCATATCCAGATCCCTACAGTGTTGCTGAATTGCAGTTTTGTTTTTAAACAGATAACCCCTAGGTTACATGCATCAAATTACCATAACGACTTGTCAATATTCTGTTGTTTCATTGTTGATCACGTAAGCATGTGATCAGAATGTTTTCTGCTTATGTTGAAATGCAAACTGTCTCCCCATGCCTCGCTGGCTACAAAAAGCCTCTTACCTAGTTGCCAAAAGTTCAGTTTCTTCCTCTGCCAATCTCTATGACAGTTAACGCACTGTTAGTACACAAACCTGACACATTCAGAATGTTGAATCTGCCATCAAAATACGTAAATTTTTGGGCTTCTACAATGCAGATTAAATTACCTGAAAAACATTTATGTTTATATGAAATTTTTGTAAAAGTTCCACGTGGGGAAAAGGATAGGAGGGGATGACAATTGCTTTTATCTCAAACAGCAAAGTTTCACGGTGCTTTCTTAGGCATTTATCTGACAGCATTTAATTCTTCCATACTCTCCAGACCTAGATGGATTGTCACAGGTTAGGTAAGTAAATTTTATTCTAAAAACAGCTTGTAATAAGCTTTTCTGTCCTCCTTTCCTCAAAATACTTCTGGGGAAAAAATTATTTGAAGGAAATCAATACATTCTTGACCTACTTCTCTGGCTTATGAATGAAGTCCTGTTTACCTGTAGCTTCTACTCCAATTAATTCTGTGAAAGCTCAGGAGGAATGAATTCTGAACTTTTGTCTGACTGAAGAATCCCCAGGACTCCCATCTCTGCCAGCAGATGAAGCAGCAAGTCACCTATCCCTCTGGCTTGCAGGATGATGTTTTCTCTGCCTAAGCACTCTTAGAAAGGGAAAAATAAAACAACAGCTAAATGTACCCTTTTATTTGATAGTAAAGACATATGATTCAAAATAAATTATACAAAATCTATTTTCTAACGTGAGGGAATTAGGTTATTTTTCTGGCAAAGGAGATAAAACTTTGCACTGAAGTGAACAAATTTCTTATTCTTATGGATTCTAAACAGTGAAGCTTATAAAAAGAAACACATATAGGTACATATGGTCAAGCAGGGACAAAATTAGAAAGGCAA